CCCGGCTGGGTCTTGAACCCATGGGCTCAGGCAGTCCACTTACCTTGGCCTCCCAAAGCATTGGGGTTACAGGCTGAGCCACCCAGCCCGGCCTAATTGTTTTTTTTTACTTATCTGACGAGTAATAAGCCACTGTGGTAACCGGGTGTGAAGGTGGTGTGTCGCACACATGAGTGTGCATGCCCCGTCCCTATGCTGTGAACCACAGAGGATCCTCACTTTTCTTAAACTCAGTCTACTTGAACCCCACTAAGTCCCTCCTAGACTCTGAAGCCGCCCGTGGAGGCCCTCGGATCCTTAGGGGCCCCGCCCCGCGTGCAGTGACGCCCCCTGCCCCCCGCTGCCTTCACACCCTCTGGTGGTGGCACCCACAGCCCGGGGACCTCCGGGGCCCGCTGTTCCTTCCTGGCCACTGGGACGGCCACAGCCCGGGAGTCCAGGGGCTGAGGAAGAACAGGCCCTGCCCTGAGTCCTTGGCTTGGGGTGAGAGCGGGTCCCTTCCCCGTCCTGATGGCAGTTCCTTGGGCGCCTGGAGTGACACTGGAGCTATGCATGCCTGTCGGAGATTTTGTTTCAAAGCAAGTCCATTCATTGTACATGTTCACAGGTAAGGATGGGTGTGCTGCACGGCCCGTGAGGGTCACATCAGACACCGCAGAGCCGGGAGGTGTGCGTGGATACCTGTATATCAAGGCTGTGGGCCTGATAGTGCCTTTCTGGTATTGTCTTTGCATATGTGGTAAATCCGGGCCTTCTTGGGGGCCACAGGGAGGGGCCAGACCACCGCGCTGCAGCTGGAGGGGACTTGCCGAATGGCCTTCCTGCCTTGCACCCTCTGAGGCTCAGGATGGAAACTTCTGGATGTTTTCTGTCTCCGTCTGTGGGCACCACATGTCCTTTCTTCTCCCTAGAGCTCCTGGGGCCGGGACTTGGGTTTCCTTTGTGTTAACGTTTGGCCGAGTCGGATGGGCAGGACTGTGGACTTGACCTGCTCTGACTGGGGAGGGTGCCTGGCTCTGCCCTTGGCCTGAGCGGCCTCGGCTGGCCTGTGGGGTCATGGGAAGCCGAAATGAGGCCGCTGTCGAACTCAGTGCAGTGCCTGTCACGTGGTGACGCCCATGACATCACCCTGGGTGTCACACCCAGGCTGTAGAGATGGGCCCTCAGCTGTCCCCAAAAGCTCCGTGCACGAGCTTCCCACGCATGACGTGGCGGGGTCTGGGCCCTCGGGTGGCAGTGTGGGAGGGCTGTCTGTCATTTGTCACACGTTCAGACAAACGGATGCTGCTCTGGATGACTGCCTTGGTGTCCTCGCCTCTCAACCTGTGTTACCGCATCACGACTTGGGGATTGTGTCCCTCAAGGGTACCCGTGTGCGGCTGTGGTTTGCCCATGTGTCCCTTCCCTCACCCTGGCTGTGGGGCCTCTGGGGCTGGAGGCATTGGCTCTGCAGCTCTCTCGGTATGGCTGCTCCAGGGTGCCCTCCTGTAGCCCAGGGCGCAGCAGCCCGGCAGGCATCTCTCCCGGCTCTGCAGAGCAGGGCTGGCCTCCCTCGGCCTGGGATTCCTGGCGTCCAGTGAGTGCAGCCTCCCTGCCCATAGAGATGCCTGCTCCCCGCTGGCTGGCCCCTGTCTGCCCACCCCTGCCCATTCCTACGCTAGGCAGCGTGTCGGGCCCTTGAGGCATGCTGCCACGTCAGCCTTGCCAGAAGGCCTCTCCCGCAGGCCCTGGGGCTCGGAGGCACAGGTGAGCCGGAGGCAGGTGCGGGCTCCCCTCCAGCCCGCTGGCCTCCCGCACTCTGCTGATGGCCGTTGCTGCTTCAGTTTCCAGGTGGAGCGGCCTGCACTGAACGTGGTCATCTTCCCCCTGCTCCACGAGGGCCTGACCGACGTCATCCGGGACGTCCCCATGGTGCACCTGGATGAGATCACCTTGTTTAAGAGCCGAGTGGCTGAGGAGCCACCAAACCTGTGGTGGTGAGGAGGACCCGTCCTGCCCTGGGCCCAGCCACTGCTCGTCAGTCCAGGCCACCGGAGGCGCTGCTGCTGTCCCGAAGAGCTGCAGGTTCGGACCCCTCGTTTGCCGCGGGAGGAGGAAAGCCACGCTCCCAGCCTGGCTGCGGCTTCCAGCGCTCCCTCTGCTGTCTCCCGTGGCGACTGCTGCTCCGTGAAGTTAGGGTCCAGGGAACGTTCCCGGGTGACAAGAGGGCTTGGGTGGGGGCCTGGCTGGGTGTTCTTGCCCTGAGCCTCGGTCCTTGGGGGCCCCGCCCATGTCCCCGGTGCCGGTTGGGCTGGGCCCAGGACGGCCCTTTGCTTGAACCCTGAACGGTGTTCTCTTGGCCCGGGCTCCGAGGATGGGTGGCCGTGCTGGTGCCTGCAGGTGGGCGTGTGCTGGTCCTGCCAATGTGCTACGTCCAGGCTGGTCGCCACGAATCCGAGCGTCGCCTTATGTGGTGGAGTGTGACGCGGTGAAGGGCCCATGAGCTTTGTGGCTGCAGATTTGGGCCACAAGGTCCTCGGAACACATTTGAACCCACCCATGTCTCGGGGCTTTTCCCGCCAGGTGACATCTGGGCTGCGAGGGGCCCTGGGACAGCTGGGCGGGGCCTCCTCAGGGCCGTGGAGCCCCGGGAGCAGCCCTCCCCATGAGATATGTCCTCTTCCCCCCGCTCCTGTTCACAGCAACCGTCCTGTCCGCGTTTCTGGAGAAATCTGTACGTATTGGCTTTGTCGTGATAAAGACCAGAAAGGGTGTTGGAGGCTGGAGTAGTGATCAGAGCACCCCATGTCAGGTCACTCGAGCTCTTAAAAAATATCCCAAGAGCGAGGAGTGACCTTTCGGTGTCGGGCCTTGGCCCGTGTGCCGAGCCAGGCTGCTTCTGCCTGCCTCAGCCCAGAGGCTCTGGAGCCGTTGTCCCCAGGCTGTTGGCTTCTGAGGGCCTGTGCTCGGGCCCCATCCCCTCGGTGATGGCGTCCGGGGGCTTCCAGCCTGGGCCACGCTGCTTCCGTAGGGGCCGCCTCCCCCCGCCCCTGTGGGTACAAAGCCACCACGCGGCTCACGCTGCAGGTGCCCCGTCAGCCTCCGGCCGTCTGACCCCGGCCCAGCCCTCTGTCTTCCTCCTGGGTCTCCATAGTGACAGTGCCCCCGTCCCTGTGTGGTGGTGTTCCGTAGTTCACCTGCCCTTACCCAGGCTCCCGGGGTTGGCGGTTCTCCGCAGCTGTGTGAGCTGCAAGGACAGGACTCCCGGGGTCAGAGCGAAGGGGAGACGCAGCGTGTTCTGACCAGGCCTCTCGAGAAAGCTGCCTCCTTCCTGTCCATCTGGTGGGCTTTGCCCACCCCAGTGGCTCTGCTCATCCACAGAGGCGGGTCTGTGGGGCAAGGTTTCTTCCCTCTTCACCCCGTGTTCCTCGTGCTGTGGCGTCAGCACTGTCCTTCTGGAGCACAGGCTGTCTTCTCCCTGTCGGCGGCTGATTTCCTGGGGGTGCCCTACAGCGGGGCCTGTACCAGACCGAGAGCCCTCCTGATGTGACATCTTGGAACTGTATCCCTGGGGCCCATCACCTGGCCTGCAGGCTGCAGGACGGGCTGCCCAGGGCCCCAGGAAGCAGGGCAGTGGTCCCACAGCTGTGGTAGAGGCGGAAAGGTAATAGGACCCACCCCAAGTCTGGGCGTTTCTTTGCAGCTTTAAAAACGGCACCCGGGACCCCCAGGTGAGGGTGATTGGATTGGGTGATGAGGGATCCCCCTGGAACTGACCACTTCCTGTCTCCAAAGCAAGGCTGTGACTGGTCACAGCCTGACACGCTGGTGCAGCCCAGGGGAGGCAGGTGGCTGGAGACGTTTGGGCCCTGGGGGGCCCGTGGCTTCTGTGCCCTCCTGGCTTCCTTCAGAGCAGCCCCTGCGTGGGCCAGAGAATCGCTTCCACTAGGAATGTGTCCAGTGTTTTTACGACTGCGCCTGGTGTCCTATTCTCCTGAGCAAGCAGTTTAACCAGCAGCATAATTTGTGCTCACGAGCAGGGGTGGGCGGGAGGGCGGCTCACGGGAGCCGGGGTGCTAACTGCCTTGGAAAGCAACCCCCGACGGCAGGCCTGGTATTTTTAGTGTCCCCTGCAACAATCCTTTGACTTAGAGCAAGAATTTCCGTTGCCTCTACACCCGAGACGGATTCACCAGATGTTAATAACGTGCTTATTTTCGCTAAGTGCTATTTTGGCACTGGTGTTAATTGCAATTTATATTCTGCAGCATTTTGCGCTGGGAAAGAACCCACCCTAATGGTCCCCAGTTGGCAGAACTAGGCTGTTAAGCGGAGGACCATATGCCGCCTGCTGAGGGGAGCGTGGTCAGCACTTGTCCCGCGCCCGCTTGTGTGTGCACATGTGCGTGTGTGCCCGTGCTTCTGTGTGCACATGCCTGTGTGTGCCTGAGTGTATGTACGTGTGCCCACTTGTGTGTCTTTGTGCATGTGTGTGCCTGTGTGTATATCTGCGCATATATGCCCTGCAAGCACGTGTGTCGTGCATGTGAGTATCTGCTTTGCATGTGGGCACAAGTGTGAGGTAAGTGTGTATGTCTGTAGAGATGGGGAGATGGAAGAAGGAGGGAGGAGAGAGGGTGTGTGTCCCTTTGTTCTTTTTTTTTTTTTAATTGGAGTCTCACTCTTGTTACCCAGGCTGGAGGGCAGTGGCACGCTCATGGCCACCACAGCCTCAATCTCCTGGGCTCAGGTGATCCTTATGCCTCAGCCTTCCCAGTATCTGGAACTACAGGCATGCACCACCATAATTTTTTGATTTTATTTTGAGATGAGGTCTTGCCAAGTTGCCCAGGCTGGTCTCAAACCCATGGGCTCAGGCAGTCCTCTAACTTTGGCCTCCCAAAGTGCTGGGATTATAGGCGTGAGCCCCCACTCCCAGCCCCTTGGTTCTTGTTTGTTTTGGTTTTTTTTTCTGAGATGGAGTCTCACCCTGCCGCCCAGACTGGAGTGCAGTGGCTGCTCCCGGCCACCGCAGCCTCGCCCTGCTGGGCTCCGGCCATCCTTTCGCCTCAGCTTTCCAAGTGGCCGGAACTACAGGTGCATGCTACTGCGCCCGGATAATTTTTTATTTCCTGTAGAGACGAGGTCCCGCCAAGTTGCCCGGGCGGGTCTCAAACCTGCAGGCTCAGGCAGTCCACTCGCCTCAGCCTCCCAAGGTGATGACAGGCTGAGCCACTGAGCCCGGCCCCCTCTGTTCTTAATAGAGAAAGCCCTTGGCCCCTCGGCCGCTGCTCCTGCCTGTACCTCACCCCAGGCCCAGTGGCTCTTCCTTCCCCGCCCACTCCCGGCCCTGTGGCCCCAGAGCCTGCGCCCTGCAGCCTGTGCCCGTGGCCCGTGGCCTGCTCCACGTCAGCAAGCAGCCCTGGGCCCCCGGGGCTTCTGCAGGTGTTCCCAGGAGAAGGCACAGGTGCCCGGGAAGCCAGAGAGAAAGGGCAGTTCTGGGCCTTCAGACGCTCTCTCCCAGGCAACGGGCTCTTCCCACGACCCAGACCAGCACGCCCATGTGGGTGGTACCAGTGGCTCCTGCAGGGACGGATCGTGCTGGAGGTCCCTGCATCCCCTGTTGAGTGGCGCCAGGGCAGCTCCTGCTTTTAGGATTTGAAAATTGCAGAGCCCTCATGAGGAAAACACGAGATAGGAGTGGACGGGCTGATGATGGAGCGTGGCTGTTGGCCACAAAACCTGGGGCGAAGGAGACATTGGCCACCTATGTGGACGTGGACCGAGCAAGACGCTGCCCTTGTTCTCAGTGGCCTCCACTGAGGGGGTCTTGGTGATGGTCATCGGTTTCATTTGCATTTGGGGGTGCAGGATTCTAGTTAGACGTTTCTAGATCAGCCGGGCACAGTGGCTCACGCCTGTCATCCCACCACTTTGGGAGGCCGAGGCGAGAGAGAGGATTGCCTGAGCTCGGGGGTTTGAGACCAGCCTGGGCAACCTGGTGAGACCTCCTCTCTATAACAAGTCAAAAAATCAGTCGGGCGTGGTGGTGCACACCTGTGTTTCCAGCTACTTGGAAGGCTGAGGCAGAAAGATCTGAGCCCAGTAGGCGAGCCTTCTGCCTCAGCCTTCCAAGTATCTGGAACTACGGGCATGCACCACCAAGCCTGGCTAATTTTTTGATTTTTCTTTTTGAGGTTTTTTTTTTATGCTAATACCCCAGGTCAGGGCCAGTGCGGAAGCTCATGCCTGTAATCCCAGCACTTTGGGAGGCTGAGGCGGGAGGATTGCTTGAGTCCAGGAGTTCGGGACTAGCCTGGGCAGCATAGCGAGACCCCGTCTCTACAAAAAAATAAAAAGCCCAGGTCAAGGCCCCTGGTGCACCCTGCCTTGGGACCCAGGGACGAGGTGACCAGCACACCGTGGGGTCTTCCCAGAGGCCTGGCAGGAGGTGAGTGGAGTCTGGGCCTCTGTGTGAGTGGTGTGTCCGTGGGGGCAGGTGAGTGTGTGTGGAGGAGGCGAGGAAGGAGTGTGTGCTTGTGGGTGGAGGTGTGCATGGGCGGGCAGGCACGGGTGTGCACATGCATGCAGGTGTGTGCGGCCGTGTGTGCGTGTCCACCCCTCGGTGGTGTCCCTGCCAGGTCCATGCTCCTGTCCCTCTGGCCGCTGCCTGTCTGTGTGTGGCTTTGCTTAGAAACAGCAGGGCTCAGCATGTTTTAGGGGCGAGCCCTTTCCCTGGCCAGGGGTCTCGCTGTGTCGTGACCAGGTGCTAAATGACCGTACGTGTGTCACCTGCCTTTCTGTGACCTCCTGTCCCCGTCCAGCTTAGTTGCTCACGTGTGGCGTCCCCGGTGATGCCCACTCCTGAATTTGGCATTCGCTGGAGCAAACTGTGTCTGGATGGGACTTTTCATGTAAATTTGTGGCATGTGGGAATTTCAAATAAAATGGACTTGATTTAGGAAGCCAGGCCGCTGTGTCGTCCTTCCGGCAGGGACACTGCACGCCCCACTGAGCCAGAGGCCGACGGCGCCATTCACTTCGGGTGGTGGAGGGTGGGGGCTTTGCGTGGGGCTGCAGGGGCCAAAACACGGAGGGAGGCACGACACCCAAAGAGGGAGCCAGATGCTTCCTGGGGCATCAGGAGACGGCAGCCGTGGAGGCCAAGGTGGGAGGGACTGCAT